TGAACATACCTCAACACCTGTATGTGCGGTTCAACACAGTGCTTAACAAAACAATATACACAGGGTAAGGTGGGCGGGCACGGGCATCACTCCAAAAAAATCATAATAATAATAATAATAATAAAAAAAATCAATTTCTCGTCTCTTAATTATGTCCATATAAATATATCCAGGGAGGAGGGCGAGAGGAAGGGAGGGCAGAAAGGAAAAGAGAAGGCAGAGGGAAGCGCCCGCAGTCCAGTGTGCTCTGCGCCCCTGCGTGAGCCCTACTGTGAGCTGGCACGCTCCAGCACCCGCAAGTCGTAGTTCTTTTTGGCCACACGCAGCTTGAAGCGGCTGAGGGAGTTGTTGAGGCGGAGGGAGGCATTTTGGGCAGCCAGCGGGCTGGGGAACACGGCCACGATGGTGTATAAGGCAGCAAGGTCACTGTGCCTGCCGTTCTCTGGAGTCCCGTTGTTGTCTCCGCCGCCCCCATCTCCACGGCGCCCCTGAGTCTCTTTGAGCCACTGGATTTTGGCACCAGCCATGGCAAGCTGGGTGAAGAGCTTGTCAGCCTCTGTCCGTGTGATGCCCTCGGGCAGGTCTGTCACCTCCAGCACTCGGCCCACCACTGCGGGGGAAGGACAGCGCACGTCAGCGAGTTCTTGGGTGGCAACAGCCCAGTGAGAGCCGACGCGTGGGCTTCTCACCGGCTCTGGGGTTGGAGCCGTCACCTCCCCTTGGCCCGTGAGAGCTTGGCGAAGCTGCCCCCACATTAGGAATGTCTTGGTTTTAAGCCAGTCACCTCAAGCTGCCCCTACCATCCTGTTCCCTACGGTCCCCCATCCCGATCCCTTCTGATGCCCACGTCCTGGTCCCCACATGGCCTGCTTGAAGAGGAGGCTGGTACTTTCCAGCACAGCAAGGCCTCCTTGCTTCCCTTGGGTAGGCTTGGCTTTTCAGTTAGGGCTCTCCCAGCCTCCTTGCTTCCCTTGGGTAGGCTTGGCTTTTCAGTTAGGGCTCTCCCAGCCTCCTCGCTTCCCTCGGGTGGGCTTGGCTTTTCAGTTAGGGCTCTCCCAGCCTCCTCGCTTCCCTCGGGTGGGCTTGGCTTTTCAGTTAGGGCTCTCCCAGCCTCCTACCCCCATATCCTTGGGTACCAGGATTGGGAGCAAACCCACCTCTGCCCCCTGCCCCTGGGAAGGAGAAAGCCAGGCTGCAGCCACGGGGGACATCGACATGTGCAGATCCTGAATGTGACCCTGCCCCATCCCATGTGCTTCACCCCCGGGGAGGATCCCGCTGTGTGCCCAGGCCAGTGTCACGCCAACCTCTTTGCCTCTGCTCTGTGGTACCCAAACACTTCTGGTGCCTCCTGGCTCCAGCCCGGGCTGTTGGGCTTAGCGGAGGGCTGGCTGAATGGATTCTTTGCTAATATTAACACGGCATGTAATGAACATGCCAGCCGCAGGGAGGGGGGCAGCTCTCTGGCAAGCAGCTCTTAAAGGGCCCCCTGCAACCAGCTGCTGGTGGTGGTGACATGGAGGTGACATAGGGGACAAGGCTGAAGCCTCCAGAGAGCCGGTGAAGAGCTGGCTGGCTCAGGCCCCACTAGCAAGTCTTGCATTGCTGCGGGGAGCAGCCGGACACGTGCCTCTCCTTCCCTCCCTGATGACCGAGAGGAGACGCCCCAGGGCAAGGAAATGATCCACTGGGGATTTCAGCCCTTGCAGCCACCCCTAGAAGATCATAGAATGTTTTGGGTTGGAAGGGACCCCTAGAGGTCATCTAGTCCAACCCCAAAGCCCTTTACAAAGATGCGGGCTCTGCAGCTCCTGGCTCCGCTGGGAAATGGAAGCATGAGAGGGAAGGGCCACTTGGGAAGGCAATGGTGGGAACAAGAAGATCTCAGGGGTCTGGACACTCACTTTCTGCTGCCAAAGGAGGACAGGATGTCATCCAGAGACACCTGGACAGGCTGGAGAGGTGGGTCTGTGTGAACCTCATGAGGTTCAACAAGGCCAAGGGCAAG